TGATTCGCGTACCCGCGATCGAACGGTCCAGATTTGTTCCTGCGCGGACAGACGACCCAGATGTGTTATCTCCCCAAACGCGATCGAACGGTTAAATTTGAATGCAATCAGACAGCTCAGAGTGGATCGCGATAGACGGTTTAGATTGGATTGTGATGAACGACCTAGATTCACTCCTTATTTAATCACGATCGGACGATCCAGATCAAACACGATGGACGACCCAGATCAAAAGCGGATGGATCCGCATAACCCCCATCCACACCAAACCTTAACCCTAGTCGCCAGACCCCCTCGCTAGAGAAGAAGATCCGGCCGTCAGAAGGACACCGCCACCACCCGCCGCCGCACCGGAGCTTTTTCCGACCGCCAAAAAAGGTAAAAATAATTTTTCTTGTTCGAAATTCAATTTTAAGCACACCCATGGCCAAATCGGAGTAAAAAGACCAGCTAGTTGGCCGAAAATGCCGGTAAAGCTCAGTGGCATCGTCGCTGGGAATTTCACAAAACGTCTCCGATGAGGCCCTTCTCGATTCCCGTTATGTATAATTTTTTCACCGTTGTGATCACCGTATCATTCTCTACAGGTTGATCGGAGTAAAACACCCAACTGCAACATGAATCGGAGGAGCCACTGCACCAGAGAGCCCCGCCGCCGGTGAATTTCAATTTTTTGTGTTTTTTGGGCCAACCGAGACTCTTTAACGTGTTTTCTCGCAGGGATCGATGCAGAATTGGCCGAATTCAGTTGAAAATGACTAAAAACAAGCAACCCATGGCAGACTGCCGTCGCAAAATTCTGAAATTGGCCAAGTGGGCCCCAGAATTGATTTTGAGTTTGTTTGGAATATTTGTAGGTACTATTAGTGCATTTTAATTCTCGAAAAAAAATTCAGGAATTCCGAAAATTGCCCGTAGGCACAGTCGAACAGCTTAGTTTTTTAGGCATCAAATCGAGTAAGGATCCCTCACCCTATTTCCTATCATGTAATTGAAGTTTAAATAAATAATAATATAATATTGTGTGGGAATTTAATAAATGTTCATAATTAATTACGGATTGCTAATGGAGCTAGAACCAAAAATTATTTTTTGTTAATTTATTTTATAGTCTAAAAGTATGATAGTATCTGATTTATTAATTTTATGGTTTGAATGCATGTATTGCTACCTTACGTGACCATCGTTTAGTTGAAAAATTGAGATATGATTGTATTCTCTGATGCATGTTTATTTGCTTATGTGATTATGGTTGATTTAGAAAATGAAGACTAACAGAAAACGAAAAAGTTGTATGGAAAAGTGAATAGATGAAGACGACAGCCTTACTAATATCCTAAGAGATGGTGGACGGACCGTGTACATAGAAAATCCTATCGTGAACATTGTCTCATATCGAATGGGGTATGTAGACTTGATAATTTGGCAGATGGCTCGCTTTATTCTCATACCGGATGAGATATTGAGATTTGATAGTTTGATGCTCATACCAGATAGGGTATGAGGACGGTCCGTAATTGAGATTGTTAAAGAAAATGGTTCGCGTGTAGTGAGGACATCCCTATGAACCCCTATGGATATTAGTAGGCTAGTGAAAAAAGTGACAGTTATTGTTCGATTTATTGACGATGTATATAGACTTATGATATGTGATATGTTGTTATTTTTACATGAAATTATGATATGTATGATATTATTATTTGCATAGATTATTTTCATAAATTTCACTACGGT